AAAAATTATATCTGGCCTGGACAGGGGGGGTTGAGTGGCCTAAACAGGGGGGTTGAGTCAAATATTTGGTCTGGACAGGGGGGTTAGGTCAGAAGCTGATTTTGACTTCTTCCACCCCCCTCCAGTTTTTTAACAGCCTAATACAAGTTATTCCAGTCCTTTAATTTGTTGTTCACAGTTATGAAAGTGTTTAGGAAACCATAATTTCCGTTTTTGATCAGTGGCAGACTGTTCATCAGAAATATGTCCCGTATAGCTAGCCTACAAAAATTATGCAACACCCACTATGATCACCTTATGATTTGTTTTTTTTACTGTCTGATATTAATTTACTCGAACGTACAGCAGACAAGATTGCTGCATGGAGGATAGATTGTTGGAACACTTCACATTTTGGACAGGGGTGATTTAAGAACAATCCAAAGCAAATATTGCCTTTCAGGTCTTATGATTTGTTTTTACTGATAACTCAAACAGGGACAGCAGACAAGAAGATAGTGGAGGTGACAAACTGTTTCCCGGTGCCACACAACGAGTCAGAAGATGAGGTGAGTTTTAAGATTTTTTTCATCTCTCAAACTATAGAACACGCAACTTGAGACATTGCACATTTGTAACAAACCTATTCAACTTCACGAAAAAGTCATGACATGTATTATAATCAAGTTTACATGTCATAAAATGTAATAATCTCCAAGCAGATCATACGGTGGCAAGGCAGTGTCCATTGACCAGAGGAGTGTCCATTAGCCACTTTCGGTGGCCGTACAAACCTCTCTGGCTAATGGATACTGTCTTGCCACCGAGAGGGATCTGCTTAGAGATTAAAATGTAATAACACAGTTGCACAAAGAATTGCATATTCAGTACCCAGTATTCTTTTTAAACAGAGACTGGTAACAGAGTAGTAGGCATTTCATCGGTCTCGTAGGACCATGAAGAAGAATCATCTTCTACATCATGTACTTATTTTTTTGCTTTACGCTTAAAGCGTCTGTGTTCTGATGCGAGTCTCTGTTTTTCTTCCCCCCGTTGTAAGCCCTTCTTAACTTCCTGTCTCCAAAGTGTTCCGTTTGAACATTGTAAGAGTCTCCCATGTGTTAATGTCTGTGTCCATGTCTTTTCTGTTATGGTGGTAACATTCAGGGTTGGACAAGTCCCATTGCCCACTTGCCCAGGGCAAGTAAAAGTACTGTTCGGGCAAGTAAATATCCCCCTGTACTTGCCCAATTGGGCAACTAAATTTTTTGGATACAAAGTTTAGCCGCTATGGTGTTTGGAGCAAAATTACTCATCATTTTGCCAAATTGATATTATATTAATGTCCTTTTGTCAGAAAATCCATTGCCAGTCTTAAACCACATTATTTTGATGAATAAAGTATGTAGCATTATAAACTCTAAAATAAGATGCTGGTAGTAAAAATGCTTAAAAATGTCATGTATATTTTGGGCAAGTGAAAAGTTGGTTCGGGCAAGAGGATTTTTGAAAACTTGTCCAACCCTGTTAACTGTTAACAGGATCATCAGTACCAGTGCCATAAGTTGAGATCTGTTATGATGGAACAAACATCTTTCCTATCTCCTCAACAACCACAGGTTGCAGTTGACATGGAGTTTGCCAAAAATATGTACGAGCTTCACAAAAAGGTGAACCCATCTGAGGTGATCGTAGGGTGGTGAGTACAGCTTGTCTGTCCTTCAACTTAAGCTAACAGATACATAAAACAAACCCTACCTTTCACCTCAATTTCTCATACATACACTGATTTGGCTATGCAAGACCTAATCAGTCAGATCTGTTATCACGCCCACTGGTGTACACTTTAACTGATGAAATCAACAAAAAGTTTGTATTACTACATGTAGTATCTGTCAGTCTTTTATATTAACATCTTCATCTAACGTGTGTATGTAATCAGACTTTGATATCAAACATTTGATGTTTGAAAGTTACAGTTTTCTAAGACTGTATCAAAATTTTCAATCTATCAACATAATCAATTCATGGTGCAAAAACCATGTTAACACACTTTACATGTTGTGTAGGTATGCCACAGGACCAGACATCACGGAACACTCTGTGTTGATCCATGAGTACTACTCGCGAGAGTGTAGCCACCCCGTCCATGTGACTGTGGACACCAACCTCAGGGGAAACAAGATGGCGTTTAAGGCATACCACAGGTACAGAGTTCACTGGAGAATGGATGTTTGTGGCACAAAAAATGTAGTTTAACTTAGCATGAAAGTTCATCTGTGTTGGTACACATCATTATGAAATAAAGACTGAGCTTTAACTTCCAACACTAGATACAGAATTGGGACTTACCCCAAATTTTTGGTTGACTCCATTAACCTTGTTCACGGATTGTCTCTGACGTCACGTTCCAAGAGTAGACGGGTCCATTCCGTGAACAAGGTTGATGGAGTCAACCGAACATTTGGGGTAAGTCCCAATTCTGTATCTAGTGTTGGAAGTTAAAGCTCAGTCTTTATTTCAAAATGTAGTTTAAGTTAAGGGGTTATTTTGTACAAAATAAGGTGGCTGTGTTCCTGTAATCCCACAAAGCTATGTCAGAGGAATGATTTGTGCCTATTATTATTATGTGTTGGTTTTGGTTTGGTTTTCCTGTAATGCCCACGATCATGATAATGATCATTCTGGCATAGTCATTTTCACCTGAGCGAAGTGAGGAAAGTTCGTGTAAAGTGCCTTTCCCAAGGGCACAAGGTTGGTGACATGGCAGGATTCGAACACGGCACCTCTTGGTTCTGAGCCGAATGCTCTGCCGTTGCACCACACAACCCCATTCCCTTTGTTTGATGCCTTTTAGTGATCATTTCAAAAAGCATGAGGATTATTAGTTGTAAACCACAGCTCAAAATTACCTTGTATTCTATCATGAAAGTTCTTCTATGTTGGCAGTTACATGTTTGGAGTTAAAACTTTTGATCCAACACAAAGAAGTTCTCTCCCCTAGAGTTTCAACCAGTCACTCTGGTCTTCTTCAGTAGTCTGACACAGTGAGGTCTGGCCTAGTGACAAGCCTCAATGGGTCAGTCTGCCAGAGTTACTGGTCAAAAGCTCTAGAGGAGAGAACTTCCTTCGTTTTAACTCTAAACTTACCTTGTATTCGTTTGTAATTTTGTGTACTTTGCTTGGTTCCCCCCAGTGTGTCCATGGGAGTATCAGGTGGTACTATGGGCACCATGTTCACCCCCCTCCAGCTGAAGATTACCAGCTACGAGGCAGAGAAAGTAGGAGGTAGGTTTGGATAAAAATACACTGCTGGAAAAGATTACCTTCACAAAAATTACTTGTCAGGAAACATAAAGTCTCCAGGTAGGTAATACACAACCAATGCAGACTAACAAGTCACATACAATACTCCAGGTCTATATCAACAAAACAAACAACTGGTCAGCTTTACTTGTTGCTTCATAACATGCCCTTAGCCAGTTTGGAAGAACCCCCCTCAAGGCTCAAAGGTCCACTTTTTTACCTAAAGGTTCAGGCTTTTTCTTTAAAAGATGGACTGATTTGCATCAGTGGAGCTGGAATCCTGGAAAAACTGCTCACTTTGTCATTGAATAAAAAGTTATGTCTGATTTGTGAAATCATCTCAAAAACACAGGAAATGCCATTTCTGAGGGTTCAACTAAAAAAAAACCTGTGGTGCTCGCTGGTCAGTCAGATAGTGGGAAGAACCCCCCACCTCATTCAAAATCCTGGCTACAGGCATGCATAACAATTACTATGAGAAGTGGCTGATATCCATCTTTCTCCCCCCCCCCCACCTGTAGTGAGTCTGATCCAGCAGGGTAAGACAGCTCCTAACAGCACCATCTCCATGTTACCGGACCTGTCTGCGGTGGGGAGCCAGGCCGCCAAGCTACAGGACCTGCTCACAACCGTCATTGCGTATGTGGACGACGTGTTGGTAGGTTTACATGACTTCTTCTGGAATAAGATTGCTTAGTTTTGGACTCAATGTTAGTGTCCTTGCCTGACCATGTGCATGTGTAGGGAATGACATTTTTGTATGGATCGTTAGGGCGGGGAGTGTAGGAAAGGTATTTAGATGTTGCATTAGGTAAGCCGTTCGAACGGCGACGTTAGCGTCCGTTCGACGTCCGAACGGCTACGTTAGGATCATACGTATACGTTAGGATCGACAACGTTCGATGACGTTCGTAGAATAAAAGAGAAGTTTTTGAGTTGAAGTCTTTGTGGACAGACGTCTTTTTTTGTGCTCTGTGTCCGTTTCTTTACTTGTCTCGCTCATACTTTACTCTAAGGCGGAAATCCCACGAGGATCAACAACGAACCCCTTACACATGGTCCGGTATCTGGTAGATAGAACAGTGCAGCAAAGTTGTCCCCCTCATCTGCTCACCTGTCAAGCACTTATTGTGAATGTGTGAATATGTAACAATGAGGTGACCTTGTGCTGACCTTGCAGGCAGGAAAAGTTACAGCTGACAACACGTGGGACGTCTGCTGATGCAGCTGATGTTGTGCTGAAGTTGTAATAATGTTGTACTGATGTTGTACTGATGTTGTACTGATGTTGTATTGATGTTGTGCTAATGTTTCAGGCAGGAAAAGTTACAGCTGACAACACGGTGGGACGTCTCCTGATGCAGCTGGTGTTGTGCTGAAGTTGTAATAATGTTGTACTGATGTTGTACTGATGTTGTACTGATGTTGTACTGATGTTGTACTGATGTTGTACTGATGTTGTATTGATGTTGTGCTAATGTTTCAGGCAGGAAAAGTTACAGCTGACAACACGGTGGGACGTCTGCTGATGCAGCTGGTGGCAAAAGTACCACAGATGGAGCCGGAGGACTTCCAGAGCATGCTCAACAACATGATGAAGGTCAGTTTCACAGTTCCACTGAAGAACTGGTGGGGCAAAGCAGTTTTACAGAGGTTGATAATATCTTGAGAATCCCTTTGTTACAAGGCTATCCGCCAGTGTCTATACCCTCATCTCATTCCTGATATTTCTTCTTGTCCCAGTGATTACCTAGTCTTACGCCAAAAAGCAGTTACTCAAGCAACTGGATTGCTTGAGTAACTGCTTTTTTGGCGTATCGTATTACCTGGATGTCTAACCTTCATCAACATTACCTAGTCTTGTTTTTTCAAACTGCTAACACTTTCAGTACTCACGACCTTACATGAGACGTTCTGCTGAAGTGCTATACACAATACATGATGGGTTTCGCACAGGTGCAGTACGTTCTGCCAATGTGCTGTTTGAAGTATTTTTGTCAGGGAAAACCATGCCTTATTTTCATGTACATTATTTTCCTGCAGGATCTGCTGATGGTTGTGTACCTGGCCAACCTGACAGACACACAGATCCAGCTCCACGAGAAGTTATCAGTCAAGATGTCCTGAGGGGAGGGCGAATTGGACACTTCAGAGTTTCTATAAAAATACATGGGAGCTGTTCATTCACCCTTAACAATAAGGAATGGACAAAGAGGGATGGGGGGATGCCTGAATTTTCTTTGTATTCCACCAGTGATGATTTGGTATTTGGGCATGACGACTTGCATCAAATAAAAAAGTCTGTGTAACTCATACATGTATCTGTTTCTTGTGTGCTTCAGTTATCATCTTGGGTCAATGTTTTTAAGTATGAATGTACAACCTGTACTGGTTCAGGATGACCAATATTCAACTGGCTCACCCTGGACAGCTGCGAGTTTGAGGATTGCCATCCTTTATTAGGCCACACTAATTTAATTTCTTGGTTAACAGATTTTTCTAGAAAAATAATGGAGCGGGCGGGCGAAAAAAAAATGAAAACAGGCCTAGGCATCCTATTATGGCCCAAAGTAGTACGATAGGAGCCATGAAGTCAACACACCAGGCTGGTTCAAAACTTAAACAATGAATTTTGAACATTTAATGATAGTTACCATTGCATTGAAAGATGTAACAACTAGGATGAAAAGGACTGTTCAGGGCAAAAAATGAGCATTTTGCAGTTGATTCTGAATTTTTATTTTTATTTGCAAATCAGAAAAAAATGAAGTGGGCGAATCCATTAACCAAGAACTTAAATTTATGTGGCCTTAAGCCTATACTATAACTGTTACTTATATTCTAGGTTATACATACGGAAGCTCAAAGTAACATGAGGATCATCCTCATTTTACCTGAAACAGTCCTTATATATTCTGTCATTCAAGCAAAAGTCGTAGCTGCTGACGGCTATACCAATATGATGTCTGTTTTTTACGTCTGAGGACAATGGAAAGATGATGCCAAGACTTCAACACCAATATCTTCGCCCATAAACAAAGCGTATTATAAAAATGCAAACCATTCGTTGCAAATCAATCTTTTATTTTTGCAGAACCATTTCCATGTATTACACAAGTCGATTTATTAAAACAAGTACAGATACATGTAACGTTAGTTCACAATTCTTGTACACCAGGAAAATAGAGTCCACATGCATCACCTTCTATCTGCTGTGTCTGGAGTCTGTAACTATGTGATAAGCCTTACGTGTGCGGTCTTGAATACTATAGACATGAAAAATACTGGCTTGTTACCTTGTGAGCTACTACTGTACAACTTGTACACCATGTTATTAACCATGAATTACATCTGACACGAGTTTTGTATCATTCCAGAGCCTATATTCTGTGAGATACACATGAAACATTAACATTACTGTTTCTGAGAGGAAGGAGATATGTGGAAATTCTGTCTGTTTCAAATACATAAAAAAACAAGGTGACCAATAGGTTTAATCGACATAGAAAATTTTAAAGGCATGATAGTTCTTACAGAGCAGTATGAAATAATAAAGCAGAATAGATTACAGGAGTAACGTTAACTAGCATGCAGATATAGAAACGCAAGTTCTCAATCCCCATTCTTCAATTTATACGCCTGCAGAATCCTTAGTAAAGATGTCATTTTTATTCTAAAACTAAAAGAAGCCTCTTCCCCGTCAGTAGTTAAGACTATACAAACCAGTTGGTGCTGAACTTACTTCATGTATCTCCCCCTATTATCAAAACTTAATGTTTAAGAGATCATTTGTGATCAAATCGAGCTTCTTCTGACAGTCAAAAATACACAGAAACAAATAGTGCTGTGTACCTAAACCCACATTTAGGTTCAGGTCCGGATTCAAGTCCAGAGGTTTAGGTTCAGTTCTGGAATGGTAAGTCCGGACCTAAACCCATGGCATATACAAAATTGCATGTTGGCAAACTTGCAATGTTGTCTGGGCAAAACTTTGGCCACATAACATGGAGGCCGACACTTGACGATGCCCGATGGCAATGTTTTCTTCATTTAACCACACAGATTATGCGACCTATGGAAGGTTTTAGGTGGTTTGGAAAGAAAAGGGGTGTGTGACATGGGTTTTGTTGTAATAAGTCCAGAACTTGTTCTTGACATTTAGGTTTTTTTTTACTTGAACCTAAACATTTTTACAAGTCCGGAACCGGTCCAGCGAATTGGTACACAGCACTAGAAACAAACATGCTGGTTGGGTATGTGGTAGTGATTACACTGATGACTTTATGAGGTGTCCTGTTGCTGGTCTTGGTTGCTGACTGGTCTCTCTATAGCGTCGCCTCTTCCAAACGTTTTCTGCAGAACGTGTGCGTCTGCCGGCTCTATTCTCTTGTAGTAGTGCTTTTTTGTCTCGATGATCTCAAACCCAAACTTCTGGTAGAATCTGATCGCCCCTTCGTTGTTTATCTGCACGTGTCTGGAAAGAGAAAAGTGGGCCCATTAGAACTTCGACGTCACAAGCACTGAATGTACAAGTCTTTATCTCTTACAACAATACAAATAAGGAAGCAAGTAAATGGTTTTTGTAAAATACAATTTAGGCCACACCAATTCAATTTCTTGGTTAACGGATTCGCCCGCTTCATTTTTTTCTGATTTGCAAATAAAAATAAAAATTCAGAATCAACTGCAAAATGGTCATATTTTGCCCTGAACAGTTGAAAACAGTCCTTTTCATCCTAGTTGTTACAGTTATTCCATCTTTCAATGCAATGCTATCATTAAAAGTTCAAAATGAACCAGCCTGGAGTGTTGACTTCATGGCTCCTATCGTACCATTTTGGGCCATAAAAGGCCTGTTTTTATTTTTTTGCCCGCTCGCTTCATTATTTTTCTAGAAAAATCCGTTAACCAAGAAATTAAATTTGTGTGGCCTTATGTCATAAAGGTTATCACTAGGCATTAATTGTACATGATATGCTGATACTTGTAATAGTAAAATAGTATACAGATACATGATGTACATACAAGAAAACGTTGTCGAAGTTTCCATCTTCTTCACAGATCTTCAGCACATGATTCAGCATAACAGTCCCTGTAGGAAGGAAAGGAAGATTGTTGTAAGTCTGACAGATTATAACAAAACATTCCTTTGCTTCAACTTTCATGTAGTCCAAAATTGACAATCAGACATTTACTAACAAAATCAATTTTTGGGAATAGGTGCACTGGTGCACCCAACCTAAAAAAATGGGTGTACAAAATTTTCTGTGGGTGCACCATATGAAATAAAATATGTAGAATGTCAGAAAAAAAGTAATCATGTTTAATTACTAAAGAAAAATACTAAAAGAATGATTTTATTATTTTTCTAACACTTAGATGTTAACAACATGCTGTATACTACTAGTGTCTATTTATTAATAACAGCTTTACATATGTAAACCTACAAGAATATTTGGGTGCACTGGTGCACCCTGAGAAAAAAAAATTGGGTGCACAGCTCCAAATTTGGGTGCACTAAGGTGCACATGCACCCAGTATTTCCAGCCCTGCTAACAGTGACTGTGGTTTCCAAGGCAAAAATACTGGTGCCACATTCTGATTTTGGTGATGCTTTATCTGTTTATCATGATAACCTACAACAACAAAAGTAATCCAAGAACATGAATGCTGGTAGATCCCAGAATGTCCATGCAGAAATAGTTGATCTCCTCTAACACAGTTCATACTTTCATGAAAGTTCATCTGTGTTGGTAGTTACATGTTTAGAGTTAAAACTGAGACAGACCAGGAGTGACTGGTCGAAAGCTGTAGGTGAGAGACTTTTTTGTGTTGGATCTGAAGTTTTAACTCTAAACACAGCTGTGACTAGTGATGCATGCCTAAACCCAATTTTTGGTTTGGTTCAGGTCCGGATTCAAGTCCAGAGGTTTAGGTTCAGTTCCGGACTTGTAAGTCCGGACCTAAACCCATGTCATATACAAAATTGCATGTTGGCAACCTTGCAATGTTGTCTGGGCAAAACTTTGGCCACATAACATGGAGGCCGGTACTTGACGATGCCTGATGGCAATGTTTTCTTCGTTTTGCAACAAAGATTTTACAATCTACGGAAGGTTTTAGGTGGTTTGGAAAGAAAAGGGGTATGCGAAATGGTTTTTTATGGTAATAAGTCCAGTCCAGACTTGAACCTAAACATTCTTACAAGTCCGGATCCAAGTCCAGTGAACCGGTATGCAGCACTAGCTGTGACTTACCTATCCTGAGTCTGCGGTACGGTGCTAGGCAGCCTAGTGTCATGATGTACAGTCGTCGCGAGTCTTCAGTCTGGTCCACACGACAACACACAGCTCCAACAACTATGTCATTGTAGTAGGCTGGGGTAGGGTGCCAACAGAAGGATGGTTTTAGGTTGAGCGAACAGTCATTAATTTAATCTACAGGCAGACATGTATCATGTAGGCTTTAAGACAGGCAGGGCAGTATCCAATACGCCACGGTTTGGATTGCAAAAATTGATACCTGTAAGAAAGCCTGATAAAAATGCCTACCAACATGTCAATGAAGCCTAAAACCTCTGCTTAAAGCCTAAAACCTCTGCTTAAAGCCTAAAACCTCTGCTTAGAAAGTAAACAATAATTAAACACTTAATAGTACAAAGTGTCAGCCATGATACCCTAAAGAACGTTGCCCCAGCCTTCCGACACTCACTATACATGTGTTATACTCAAAGTGTCAGTCATGATATCCAGGGTTCTAGCTAGGATTTTAGCGTAGTGGCACTGGCCGCATGATGAGGGAGCAAAGCGGAGCTTTTAAAAAGTTGAGCTTAAAAAGAGGTCATTTGAGAGATACCCAAAGGGAAAAAATGTTATTTCTAAGGTATGTACAATGTATCGTTGATTTTTCAGATTTGATCTGGCATTCTTGAACAAAGAAATACAGTCACAATGCCCCTATGCTGTATTAGAAATTAGCATAGGGGGGAAATTTAGCGTAGAGGGTCAAAATTATAGCGTAGGGGGGGAAAATTTAGCATAGGGGGGTCAAAATTATAGCGTAGGGGGGCCCTACGCTACTTTGCACTAGCTAGGACCCTGATATCTAAGAAGAAACGTTTGCTAAGTTCCTGGACTGGTCGTTTTTCCAACTCACCCAGTTTTGCGAGCTCCCCTACCTCCAGCACATCCTTGTAGAACTTGTCGTTATAGGAGACGGGAAACACGACCTGGTTCAGCCGCTTCAGCTGCTTGATGTTGTGTGGAGTCACGTCTCCCAGCTCGATGTGCTGACCACGGCTGGAAATAACAATATAAACTCAATATTTCACACACATAATATTTCAACAACACAAGCTCAGTACAACTTGATGTTGTGTGGAGTCACGTCTCCCAGCTCTATGTGCTGGGACGGCTGGAAGTAATGAGACAAATTCAGATCTTACACCTACTAGTTGGGTGTGGGCCAACTGCAACCTGAAACTGTCCGTGGTTGGTACGGAGACTACTTGTGTTGGTAAGTTGTTCCATTCTACCAATTGTCTGGGAAAACAAACTAGATCTGTATATATCTGTTACTGTACTATTATGGTAATCTCCCAGCAGATCATTTGGTGGCAAGACAGTATCCATAATGGCCAATCTGCTGGGAGATTATATTCTGGGGAGCTAAAAAAAAAAACAACATCTACTATTATTATGTTACTTGATACCGATTGATTGGGTAAGGCCATGTTGATTTGATTATATGGATGACATCCACGAGTGCATGAATTTTCGGCCGTTTCAAAAAAAAAGTTTTCAACCATACTGTAAATCGTACAAAACAGTTGCAAAATGAGCAAAAATATACCGTAAGTTACAAAAAAACCATACCAATGTCGTAGAATGCCAAAATCAAACGAAAAAATACGAAATTGTAAAGAAATGAACTTGAAGACTAGATTATTCGCCAAACCATATTCTGTGCCATTTGTTCAACCCTCATGAACACGTAGATTTCATAATGAAAACAACTTTTTTTTTATTCGCACGCGCATCAGTTTTGGGGCTCCCGGAGGATGTCATCCATATAATCAAATCAATGCGGCCTAATGGTCATGTGGGATTTCTGCATGATGATGATGACTGTCAAAAGAGGTGTTTACAATAAAAATTCACAAGAGTTGACGATTCGCACCTTAATGTTAGGTAAATTTTGCAACAATCTTGAAGACCCCCCCCAAAAAAATCATACAAATTTGAGGGGGCCTGAAATTATTATCTGATTTATACTTCTGTATACTTCAAAATCATACCTACAAAAGGGATATCATAATTGTGAACACAGACAGAAGTTTCACAGTTAGTCTTTGGCTACTGCCGGGCTCCTGACACAAAAGTATGTCCCTTCAGGGGCCAACACAAGGGGGATAATCTCCAAGCAGATCCTAGGGTCTCAAAAATAGACTATCAAATAATTTGGCCAGGCAGTATCCAATTGGCTAGAGAGGGACCATCAAGGACCCACGTTGGTGGAAGTAGAAGCGACCAAAAAAAGAAGAAGAAGAAAAAAAAACGGGCCACGTATATAAAAAGCTAACGATCATTCCCCCGCAACCTCTGCTTGGAGAGTAAAGGGGGAGGGGGGGAGGATTAAGTTCTGCTTCGGTATGCTGCAAAAAGGTATCGGGAAACTTCGTACAATTCTCTTAACCTTGTGACCAAGATAGTGCAGATGCAGAATGATAACACGCAGTACCTTCTCATGGCTGCTCGATGTGTAGAAGATTCTCCCGCAGACGACGTTTGGACGACCGTTCCTGTGGAAGTTTGGCGGGACCGGCGTTAGAAAGTCTCCCGCCTACAGAACAGAACACCACATGGACACCGGAAATAGCAACGGGTCATACCAAGCTGCATCACGGGGGACACAAAATTCTAGCCGCCGTAGCAGGCTTTATATAGAACTGGGGTTTGGTGCTCTTCGGCTGTTTTATGATTAGTACAGGTCTCAAAAAACGGGGAGAATTCAACCAGGTCGGCTATGTTGTCTATATGCAATCAGAAAATAGCACACAAAAGCTCCAAAGGACCCTGAAGACCCCCCAAACCCACAGTTTCTGGCATGTTATGGAGGCTAACAAAATTCCACATTTCCTCCAACAATACAACCAAATTAAAATCATAAAATTACACAGTAATACAATCAATGATAAATACATTTATACACATACTAAGAAATTTCCTTGTCGCTATTTTTTTTTTTACCTCTGTGTGAGATTCGAGGATAGCGATGGCGAATGATGAGCTATGCTTACGCTATTCTCTGTCAGGTGAAACATCATCATCATCATCATCATATGACCAAAGGACTAGCAAAGCTCAGAAGCCGGCAGCAAAAAATCTGATCTACAATGGTGAGTTTATAGGGAATTTTGATAAGAATTTGGTCGTTTTAAGCCTTTCATATCTGGCTACACGTTGTGTATATGCAGGGTGTAGTTTTGAGGTCATTATGGGGTTTTCAGGTGTGAAATTTGCTGTGGTTTAAAAACGCCCATCTTTCGCCCTCCCCCTCACGTGAGAGTGAGAAAATGTATAAATTATTTCGTTGTTGGTAAAACAGCTATTAGGATTGATATTCTTACATTTTCTGTGATATAACCAGTCTTTATACTCAGCTACCTATGAAACCATTAGGCATTTTGGATTTAGAATAACAAATTGTATATTTTGGCCTTTTATAGCTTTAGGAAAAAATTGTCAGGTTGATGTAAAATATTATTGTTTTATGGAGCCATGGTGAGAATAGATAGATGATGATAGCAGTAAGTTTGTACACATCATCGGAGTATCATGGCCTGATCAGGACTCCCAGGCACTGACCATAGAGCTTGATGTGGGCCAGTCTTGTAGAAGAGGAACCTCTGAACATTTCTGCTTCTGTATTTAGGCATTTCTTACTTGTGAAATTTTGATTTTACGCTTTCAAGGTCACAATGCATATATTATGATATTCTGGTCAATATTCATAATTTTCAACTCAATTTTCAACTGGTATTATCAATGACTCTGAACCATGGTACAGGTTGACTTCTACTTGCATATGCAACACATTTGTCCTTTTGTAACGTCAGTAGGGCCACACCGATTTAATTTTATGGATGACATCCTCTGAAGACCCCAAACTAGTGCGCGTGGGCGAATAAAAAAAAATTCTGGACAAAAATAAAAATGCTACTAAACCACAGGAATACGAATTCGTGGCAGTACTTAGCGACGTACACGACAAGCCGGCACATGCTGGCTTTTTTGCGGAATTTATGAATCGGTATTGTACGTATGTACTGAGTTCTTGAGTCATGGAGCTTCGAATTCGATAGCTTGGGTGCTCGGCTCCATATTGTCGCAAATTACCATGAACTACCCAGGCCTAGAGCCAGGCCAGAGCCTCGATGGACGTGATCTTTTTTTTTTTGTTGAGGGCGACAGGGGAAAATCAATGCTCGCGCGGATGTCATCCATAAAATTAATTCGGTGTGGCCTTGTCGTAGAAAGAAAATCATTGGATAATACCGGGGTACTGTGATACACCATATTCGAGAGAATAGGGTATTAATTGAATATTGTGACAAAGTCTACAGTACTGAACTTTTACGTGCTGAATTGGACAGAAATTGTATAGAACATTTCCTCTACATGTAAGTACAACATCAGTCGAGACAGTTTGGACCGTTTGGTACAAAAACAGTGCCAGTATCACCCTAAGCTGCTGTAAGGTTCATATGATATATTAGTAATATGTACTGGTGTGTCTAAGGAATTGTTAATCTTTTTATCTTCAGGCAGGGGGACGTGAACGTATGGAGAAGTTGCCTAAAATCAAAGATGCAGAGAAAGAAGGTCAATTTGGATATGTGTACGCCGTGTCAGGCCCAGGTATGCTTTATTAGTTTATACACATTTTAGGCAGATGTTTTACAAATGTAATACATGCCCATTGATCACAAAATAGAAGAATGTACGTTTTTAAACATTTTCATGTTTGTTTTGATTTTAAAATTTAGTGACGCTAAACAAGAGTAATACTACATGTTACTCTAAACTTCTAGAAGCAATTTCCATAAGGATTATTATTACCATCCTGGATGTCTAACTTTCATCAATGTAACAGATATTATAGTTTGAATGTAGTACTGAAAATAAGAATAGCAAATTTGTTTATTCCCAACCATTTGATTTTGAAAATGACCGTCTTCAAAACATCAGCTCTTGTTAAATAAGTGGTTGACTGGTTGTGATCAAAGAACTTTGCTACTGAAATCATTCGCTAACCTCATGAAATTGTTCATGGATGTACTGAAAGATATTTGAATCATTGATTTCCCCGACCAATTACACAACATTGCACCACTCAGGTCAGGTGTCAGATCATGGAGCTAGAGAAGGTCGCGCAGCTCAAAAATTCATGTCCTTTGCAGGGGTCCACCCCAAAAAAAGCCAAGGGTCAGTCAGGTTTTTTTCTAGGGTTGGTCAGGAAACAGAAAACACAACATTTTTTTCCTAGGCCTAATTTGACTGTACTGAAAGTCATTCTATCCATTGACTCCCCCCAGTTGTGACCGCGGAACGGATGGCAGGCTAGGCCATGTATGAGCTGGTTCGATATCATATCCATGTCCAGGGAAGCAGGCAAACTGCACTGGGTGCTACATACTAGCTTCCCTATGATGCAGACCTGTCCCTGGTGCTGAACGTTGCCCACGCTCTTATAATTTTTGATCCATTTTTATCCAGTGGTGACTGCGGAGCGTATGGCAGGCTCGGCCATGTACGAGTTGGTACGAGTCGGGCACAGCGAGCTGGTGGGGGAAATCATCCGACTTGAGAACGACATGGCCACTATACAGGTGTACGAGGAGACTTGTATCCTTTCAGCAGTCTTTTTTTTTATTTAACCGAATTTAACGTCGTTTTTCCCCAGCAAGATTTTTACGGCTGGATGCTCTTCCTAACGCCAACCCAAACCCTAGTAGGGCCCAGGAACCCTCTAACTGAGGGGGGAAATATGTTTAAGTGCCTTTCCCAAGGGCACAACGTCTGGGTGCAAGTCCGGACATGTCTGGGTCCAACCCTGGGGATTGAACCTGGGTCTCCTTGCTTGACAGTCGGACGCTCTATCCACTACACCACACAGATGCCACACTGACTTAGATAGTTTAGAAGCAATTCTATTGTCATTAGTGTGATTGTGGATCACATCCATACCATGGCCACTATATAGGTGTATGAGGAGACCTGTATCCTTCCAGCAGTCTTAAAAAAAAAAATTAACGGCTCTTGGTTGCAAATGTACTGATGTCCACACATTGGCGCACCAAATCCGTAGGGTGTTTTTGGCACCCAGTTAGACAATTATCCTAAGAGGCTCGGTGGGCGTCACTCCACTGTACATGGTGGGGAAGTCGTGTAAAGTGCCTTTCCCAAGGGCACAACGTCGGGCCACGGTGAGTATCGAACCCGGGACTTCTAGGTTCCAAGTCAAATGCTCTAACCATTGTGCCAGCAACGCCAATTGCAATCTGCAGACTTAGATAGTTTAGAAGCAATTCTATGGTCATTAGTGTGATTGTAGATCACATCCATACCATGGCCACTATGCAGGTGTACAACGAGACCTGTACCCTATCATCAGTCATAACAGCAGGCTGCAGTGTTAGAAAGTTTGTAGCCTGATTGAACCTCGCTTTTTGCCGGCTTCCTGATTAGTCCAACCATCGGGTGGCATCTCTTTGACTTCCGGACAAAGAGCTTGTGTTACCAGGCTAGATCCTTTGTACTTCTACTTAGAATGCAGTTAGACCTGTCGTGAGTTTTTGTAGATCTTATTTATGTAGGCAAGCAATGAAACTGCACTAGGTGCTACACCTTGGTGCTGAATGTTGTCTCACAAGCACACCTGTCCTTGTTACTGAACATGTATCCCTTAGTCAAGCTGACCCTTTCCCAGGGCTGAATGTTGTCCACATTCTCACAACCACAACTATCCTTGGTGCTGAACACCTTCCCTCTCTCTGTGCATTATTGCAAGAGTTGACTGTCCATAATAGATAGATACTGACCACTGATTTTCAATTAAGTAAAATTGACCTCTTCATCGTCAACATGTGTTGGAAGCCGTTTCCCTAACCTGTGGCCAGCCGGTGTGACAGTGGGAGACCCCGTGCTGCGTACGGGGAAGCCGCTGTCCGTGGAACTCGGCCCGGGAATCCTGGGTAACATCTTCGACGGAATCCAGCGACCCCTGAAGGACATCTGTGACCTGACCCAGAGTATCTACATTCCCCGCGGCGTGAACACCCCAGCACTCAGCCGTACTGTCAAGTGGGACTTCAAACCTCAGGCTGGAGTTAAGGTAACCCTTTTCCTTAGTTACTGTAGTTGTTTACTTTTCTGTATTGGTTAGTATCTACATTCCCCGCGGCGTGAACACCCCGGCACTCAGCCGTACTGTCAAGTGGGACTTCAAACCTCAGGCTGGAGTTAAGGCAGGGCTCGAAATTCATTTTTGAGAATAGGTGCACTGGTGCACCCAACCTAAAAAATTAGGTGCACAAACTTTTTTTTGGGTGCACCATATAAAGCAAAACTTAATTACAGATCTTACTGCTCCTCTTCTGAGCTTGAATCTAAAATGAAAGCTAACTTCAAAACCTTGAACAAGTACTACAACAAAGATTTTATTATTTTTCTGATACTTCGAGACCAAGAATATCCGGTATACTATTATACATTTCTAATGTAAATTCCTGCCACAGAAAAAAATTGGGTGCACAGCTCCAAATTTGGGTGCACTAAGGTGCACATGCACCCGGTATGTTGAGCCCTGTACCTTTTATTTTATTTTAGGCAACACCAATTTAATTTGTTAGTTGGTTAATTTGCCCGCTTCTTTTTTTTCTGATTTGAAAAAAAAAAAAACATTTAAGCTTCTGAATCAACTAACAAAATGCTCATATTTTGGCCCCCACAGTTAAAGGAAGTCCCTTCTCTTTAGAGTTGTTACAGTTTTTCCATCTATCAATGCTCTTTATCAATTCAACACTCTTGTAACATACACATGTGCAACTCTTTTCTGTATCTTGTGGCCTGTTGCAGGTTGGTAGCCACATCACCGGAGGAGACATCTACGGAATTGTGCACGAGAACACGCTCATCAAGCACAAGCTGCTGCTGCCGTCCAAGGCACACGGCACAGTCACCTACATAGCAGAGCCAGGAAACTATGACATCAATGTAAGTATCAGCACAATCTGATGTATTGTGTTTAGTGATGCATACCTAAACCCAATTTTAGGTTCAGGTCCGGATTCAAGTCCAGAGGTTTAGGTTCAGTTCCGGACTTGTAAGTCCGGACCTAAACCCATGGCATATACAAAATTGCATGTTGGCAACCTTGCAATGTTGTCTGGGTGAAACTTTGGCCACATAACATGGAGGCCGGTATTTGACGATGCCCGATGGCAATGTTTTCTTCATTTTGCAGCAAAGATTTTGTAATCTACGGAAGGTTTTAGGTGGTTTGAAAAGAAAAGGGGTATGTGAAATGGTCTTTTATGGTAATAAGTCCGGACTCGGTTCTTGACTTTTAGGTTTTTTTGGACTTGAACCTAAACATTCTTACAAGTCTGGATCCAAGTCCAGTGAACCGGTATGCAGCACTAATTGTGTTAGTGTGAAGACAGCATACCAGAAGGTGTTTGTGCTTTATTTAATTACCTTCGTCAGAAGGTTATGTGTTTAGGTACACCATCCATAGGGGGTTGCTGATTTTGTAATCGGTGATAACTTGTGGTGTGGTGCATGTATCTTTATGATATTTGGTAGGTAGGAAGAGGTTGGGAAAAGGAAGGTCAAGGTCAATTTTGGGTAATTTTGGGTATGATATCTCATGTTGTGGACATGCTATGGTCTTGATTTTTGAGTGGGACACAGATGTTTGGGCAGTAAGTATCTGGTGTGGTTTTCAGCACTTTTGGATTTGTTGCAGAGGAGGTTGTGTTGGAGTTTGCTGTACTAACCCCCCTGATGTTTGTTTGTTTGTTTGTTTGTTTATTTGTTTAGGACGTTGTGTTGGAGACAGAGTTTGACGGAGAGCGAGAGAAGTTCAGCATGCTCCAGGTGTGGCCCGTACGACAGATGCGCCCCGTGTCGGAGAAACTGGCCGCAAACTTCCCACTGCTGACCGGACAGAGGGTGCTGGACGCACTCTTCCCGTAAGTGTCCTTAAAAAATGTTGTGTTAACTGTTTTCAGAGTTAAAACTTTAGATCCAACACCTAGAGCTTTCGACCAGTCACTCTGGTCTTCCTCAGTAGACTGACCCAGTGAGGCTTGTCACGTGGCTTTGTCAACACTGGGTCAAAGGTATCTGGTAGACGATGTTGGATGACCCAGTGTTGACATCACACTTCAAAGAAGCCACGTGACAAGCCTCACTGGATCAGTCTACTGAAGAAGACCAGAGTGACTGGTCGAAAGCTCTAGGTGAGAGAACTTTTTTGTGCTGGACCTAAAGTTTTAGCTTCTGACCATGGGTGGTACGGAATATACCATGTTGTATTCTATGTATATCACACGGGGTTGTAACAGTTCTACACGGGCTTTGAAATGTTCCATACAATAATAAAAATGTGTTTCACATGTGCAGAGTGTGCCATTGTGAAAATATTTCATGAAATGTTGAAATGTGAAATGTTTCATTCTGCCCTTACCCCAGGTGCGTGCAGGGCGGGACCACTGCTATCCCCGGTGCTTTTGGCTGTGGGAAGACCGTCATCTCCCAGTCTGTCTCCAAGTACTCCAACAGTGACGTCATCGTCTACGTGGGATGTGGGGAGCGTGGAAACGAGATGTCCGAGGTTCTGAGAGACTTCCCTGAGGTCAGTCATCTGTTATACATGTGCTTTTTGAATGAATGAATGAATGAATGACTTTATTTCAGGTAATACCCATGATACAAACATTAAACCACATAAACATTAAACATACAACAATTTAGACACATTTTTAAAATACGTATTTCTGAACTGACAGTCAGACCTCAATAGACGGCATATTATACTATTGTTGGTGGCGTAAAGTCTATTAATGAAGGAATAACACAATTTCCTGCGTCTAGCATCGAATGTATCGGTCGAGAGGTGTACAAACATTGAACTAGCACTACAACCTCTTGGCAACTTAAGAAGAATACGAAAGCAATTATTGTATGCAACACGACACTTAGCTAGTACACTCGCATGAACAGATTTCCATAACTGGACTCCAAACAACTGAGAACAGTAGGTCATGAACAAAGTCATTTTTACAAAGAGTGCCACATACATCCATCAGATTGGTCGAGTATAGGATATAGGAGTTCTCTTTTACACAACCAAACTTGTCTTACCTTGCTGACATTTCGGTGTCTATTGCCTGTTTCGCTGGCTAAAATACAACACAGACCTTTCCCCCGCCTATCCTTACACTTAGGAAGATGTCTCTGTTGTGAAGCAGTGTCTGTACCGTGCGCTGTTGATGTTGACGATGTCGATTCAAACAATTCTTGCACGGCTGGCCCAAAAAATAGCCGACAGGATGTTTTCAGTGAAACCAAAGAAGCGATGTAAGCCGTGATGTGATTGGCCTACAGCTTCCCAGCGACCTTTGACCTTAGCTTTCCGCTACTGAAAGCTATGCCTCTGATTGGCTGAAGCTTGTCAGCCCGTTAGAGTGGTTTGAAATGGGCAGTTTGCCAGGGTTGCTCCTTACTGGTAAGGAAGCACGCCTGGCGTGGGAGGATGATTCATACTGCAGCTTGTTGTCTTCAGATGTAAAAAACCCACTGCTCAATTATCCCCGGGTTAACAGTGTCCCGCGTGTCTCTCCCCCTCCAGTTGTCTATAGAGATTGACGGCGTTGTGGAGTCCATCATGAAACGTACAGCGCTGGTGGCGAACACATCCAACATGCCGGTAGCCGCTCGAGAGGCCTCCATCTACACAGGTACAGGACAGTCTTCTGGAAGAACGTCTGTAGGCCTAGGAAAAAAAGTTATTGTGTTTCCTGTTTTTCGACCGTCCTTAGAAAAACCTGCCCACCCTAGCCTTTTTTGTGTGGACCTCTGCATTATCTGACACCCGAGTGATAAAAAGTGATGAAAAAAAGTGACTTTTCCAACATTAACATTAAAAATATTAGTGTCCTCATGCAACTTTTGCTTTGGTGTGACACACCAGCTTCTGTATCTATCTAACATACCAGAGTTACACACACACACAAAATCAGCTAGACCTGTCACTGACAAAAAGTAGTGACTGAAAAGTAGGTACATGTACTTGAAACGTATGACAGTTTTCGAAATCTATCCCATTGCTCATTGCTCCTGTTTCTTCAGTATCTCATTACCTGGATGTCTAACCTTCAGCGACACACCAGTGTTACATTGAGTACATGGTCTGCCTTGTTTCAGGCATCACCCTGTCTGAGTACTTCCGTGACATGGGCTATAACGTCTCCATGATGGCGGACTCCACCTCTCGATGGGCCGAGGCGCTGCGTGAGATCTCAGGACGTCTGGCTGAAATGCCTGCAGGTGAGGCTAGTTCTGTGTGTGTGTGAGGGTATGTGTGTGTGTGTGTGAGGGTATGTGTGTGTGTGTGTGTGTGTGTGTGGGTATGTGTGTGTGAGGGTATGTGTGTGTGTGAGGGTGTGTGTGTGTGTGTGTGTGTGTGTGTGTGTGTGTGTGTGTGTGTGTGTGTGTGTGTGTGTGTGTGTGTGTGTGTGTGAGGGTGTGTGTGTGTGTGTGTGTGTGTGGGTCCGTGTGTGTGTGCGTGTGTGTGTGTGTGTGTGTGTGTGTGTGTGTGTGTGTGTGTGTGTGTGTGTGTGTGTGAGGGTGTGTGTGTGCTCGCGCGACTGTGTGTGTGTGTGTGTGGGCGTCTGTGTGTGTGTGTATTTCTGTGTGCGCGTGTGTCTGCGTGTGTGTGTGTGTGTGGGCGTCTGTGTGCGTGTGTGTCTGTGTGCGCGTGTGTCTGTGTGTGCGTGTGTCTGTGTGTGTGTGTGTGTGTGCGCGTCTGTGTGTGTGTGTGTGTATATCTGTCTGTGTGCACGTGTGTCTGTGCGCGTGTGTCTGTGTGCGTGTGTGTCTGTGTGTGCAAGATTATATGCAAGATTATATTGCTCTGTCTTCCGAAAAAGCTTGACTGCAGAGTTGCACTCAATTATCAGTGACTGTTCATGTTTCAATACCCTGAATAAAAGAAATATCGCTTGAAACAAAGGTATGCAACCAAGCTCTTACTTACTTTAGATAGCTACCCCATGTCAGTGATATAGTCAAACTGAATGTTTTACATCAGTGTAACATGCAGCAGTTGAAATGAAATGAAATAAGCAATTAAAAAGTGTGCTGAGTAACCCCCTGCTTGTTCCCCAGACTCTGGTTACCCCGCCTACCTCGGCGCACGGCTGGCGTCATTCTACGAGCGCGCCGGGCGGGTGAAGTGTTTAGGGAACCCGGAACGGGAGGGGAGCGTCAGCATCATTGGAGCGTGAGTATTTCTTGACCTTGATACTGTACTGCGTAACACCCCTCGGTTGGGGTCAAACACAAACCTGTATGTCTATTTATTTGTTTATGACAATAAACCAGTCATCATCAAACACGCAGGGGGGATCGGGCAGTGCGCAGCGCTCTAAATACTCCTCAAGTGTAGAAGAACAGATTCCTTAAACTTGTTGGCCTCTGGTATTTCTGGTAGGGCCTGTGGAAGCTCGTTCCAGTCTCTTACAGTCCTTGGGAAATACGAATACCTATAGCAATCCTTGTATTTTGATGACTTCACCTTACCACATTCATGCATCAGTCACTGACAACTTTCCAGTGTCACTGGCAAAGGGTAGTGGACGCTACCTGAAACGTCTGACAGTTTCCAAAATCATATCCAGTTGCTTGAGTAACCGTTTTTTGGCGTATCTTATTACCTGGATGTCTAACATTCACCCAAGAAGACTTACATGTACCTGTCCATCATGTCTGCCTGCAGTGTGTCCCCACCCGGAGGTGACCTCTCGGACCCCGTGACCTCGGCCACCCTGGGCATCGTGCAGGTGTTCTGTAGATAAACAAACAAACAAACAAACGAACAAACAAGCCTGTCCATCTCTCCCTGCAGTGTGTCCCCGCCCGGAGGTGACTTCTCGGACCCCGTGACGTCGGCCACCCTGGGCATCGTGCAGGTGTTCTGTAGATAAACAAACAAAGAAACAAACAAACAAACCTGTCCATCTCTCCCTGCAGTGTGTCCCCACCAGGAGGTGACTTCTCAGACCCTGTTACGTCGGCCACCCTGGGCATCGTGCAGGTGTTCTGGGGCCTGGATAAGAAGCTTGCCCAGAGGAAGCACTTCCCGTCTATCAACTGGATCATCAGCCACAGCAAGTACATGCGCGCCCTGGAGGAGTACTACGACAAACACTTCCCAGAGTTCGTGCCGCTACGGACCAAGGTACGCTCTTCAACTGTTGTCTGTGTGTGTCGTTACAGTCAAGTGTTGATACTTGTGTAAGGTTAAAACTTTAGATCCGACACAAAGAAGTTTTCTTACCTAGAGCTTTTCGACCAGTCACTCTGGTCTTTCTCAGTAGGAGCCACGTGACAAGCCTCACTGGGTCGGTCTACTGAGGAAGACCAGAGTGACTGGTCGAAAACTCTAGGTGAAAGAACTTTTTGTGATGGATCTAAAGTTTTAACCTTAAACATGTAACTACCAACACAGATGAACTTTCATGATAGTATAAGTGTTGATATTGTTTTGCTGTGTCTCTTAATTCTGCTTCCTCTTCTTATTCTTCTGCTTCCATTCCAAAGAAATAAGGTCATTGACCAGATGGCTGTCACCATGGTAACTGGTGCTGTAGCAGACACCCTGTGGTGTTGGGTTACATTTTATGTAGCAAGTGGCAGGACAGAGTCGGACTGTTGCTGTACCATGTGCCTTCCCTTTGGGTTTTTTAGCCACATTAGGCCTCTTGTATAGCTATCTGTATGCATGAATCACTGATGCCCGATTTTTCTGTTTGTTGTAGTGTAAAGAGATTCTACAGGAAGAGGAGGACTTGTCAGAGATTGTGCAATTGGTCGGCAAGGTTGGTAGAGACACATTTCAAAGCATTTTTGCTTGTAAGATTGCTATAAGCATACAAAGGCCCATCACAACGGAGAAGTTGACCAGCATATGTCAACAGAGTAGTTGACCAGCATATGTCAACAGAGAAGTTGACCAGCATATGTCCTACTCCAAGGATTAGCAGACCACGACGTTGTCACTAACAAGCAACTTCTAGATGCACTCCACATGTACATTGCATCTACCAAAAGATTTACTTCCACCTGAGCCACTGTTTCTTTTTAACAGATATGTTTAGCCCTAATGTTTATCGATTTAATTCTAGGTACCCTATTGTTTCTTATATCTAATTTTTTATTGTAACTTGATCGATAATGTACTTACGTATGTGTCTATTGTGTATATTTGTGTATGATGTCACAATATCAGCTACCAGCTGCCTGGCGGCAACATTGTATTGCCATGTTGCAATTTCAAATAAATAAATAAATATGTCAGTGCTGTTATCACAGTGTCACCTTTACTAGGCAGAATTTCTCTAATGGTTCCTTAGAGTTTCTTTGAATCAGATGTGTTCTCCTCAAGCTTTCGCCAACAGTACTGTAATTCATTTTATGTTCATGGTAGCAAAAGTTTTGTGGTCTGAGAAAAATGGATGTGTTCACGGAACCATTTGCTCGTAGCGGCGGCAGGTGTAGAAAAAAGAAAGACGGTAAATTATTTGTTTAATGGAAATGCTAATTTCGCGGTACAGAAGTGAGCGCGAAAACACGAACATAAATAAAGTACCGTGAAAAAATCAGTAATTACTGTAGTACAGTAGTTGGTTGGCCTTTGCTTGCATTGTGATCCAGACTAGGTGATCCAGACCATGTGTCTAACAGTGATCTGTACCCCTACTGTGATCCTACTGTAGGGTTCCCTTGCTGAGACAGACAAGATCACGCTGGAGGTGGCCAGACTCATCAAGGATGACTTTCTACAGCAGAACGGCTACACTGCTTATGACAGGTGGGGAAACATCTGGATTCTTAGATTATTTAATTGGAAAAAAAACGGCTGGAGTAATGGTTAATTAATAAAGAAAACCTTGCAGCACAAGGATGATTTGAGGTTTTGTACAAGTTGGAGATTCTAAAAACATCACATTAAAATAGGGATTTTGCATGGCAAGTCTAACTTCTCATCATCATAGCTTGTCGCCAATCCACTCCAACCAGTTCCGCGCTGCTTCTAACTTCTAAAAACATATGACACTATAAAATGGCTTCACGCTAATTTTTACCTCCGTGAAAAATGGAGGTATTGTTTTTGGCGTGTCTGTGTGTCTGTCTGTCTGTGTGTGTGTCTGTCTGTGTGTGTTTCCGCAACTTTGTGGTCATCATAACTTCAGAACGCCTTTATGGATTGTGATGATATTTGGTGTGCTGGTAAATCTTGGAAAGACAAAGGTCAAGGTCAAGTATGGGCCTCCTGGTGGATGACCTTGGTACGGCAGCAGAACTTCCGGTTATTGGATCTTTTGTCCTGAACAAGCTATGGTCTTGACTTTTTGGTGACAGATAGTTTATCCTGTCAGGAATAAGTGGCGTGATATGATGATGTGATGATATGAAGTGAACCTTTGGTTGTTTGTTAGATTCTGCCCATTCTACAAGACGGTTGGGATGATTCAGAACCTGCTGGCGTTCTACGACATGGCGAGACACGCCGTGGAGACGACCGCGCAGAGCGAGAACAAGATCACCTGGGCCATCATCCGAGACAACATGGGAGACATCCTCTACAGGCTCAGCAGCATGAAGTTCAAGGTGGGTGGTGTTTGTTTTGTTTTGGCCACACCAATTTAATTTATTGTTTCTCTGATTTTTTGGGGAAAAAATATGAAGTGACAGGGAAAAAAAAAATAGGCCTAGGCTAGGCATCTTATGATAGCCCAAAGTGCTACGGTGGGAGCCAGGAAGTCAACATACCAGGCCGGGTTAAATTTAATTTATAATGATTTGATAAAAACATTGATACATAAAAAAAATGTAATAATT